AAAATTAAGTCAATACCTCTGTTTCTTCCCATTTTTAAATGAGTGAAAATAGAAGTCTGGAGTTACTCTAAAGAAAAACACTAGTAACAGCTATGAGTCTGTGACCACCCAGTAGTGGAAAGGGGGAGTGGTGAGTGTGGGGAAGCTGTTTTAAATCTGGAATTGATTGCATTCATTTTAGCACTTCCCTGCATGTTTGTTTCTATTTGTAATTTTTAATTCCAATTTTTATTTTTAGCTGCATATATTTTAATAGTTTAAATGAACAAATTGATTTATGTTCCAATTGCAAGCAATAGTGATTATTAAAAAGCTTCTATTAGGAGCATGACAATTTTAAGTAAAATCATTGCATATCAAATACAAAAAAATACACAACCATGTAAACACAGCTTGGTGTTCTGGATATAGGTGTGAAGTTTTTTTTATTAGAGGATTAGGTTTCTGAAAGTTTGTAGAGAATTTCAGGTTTCTGGGTGGGCTGTGGCAGATTGACAGCTTTATCTGCAGACTGCTGCATTTGGCCAATATGCTCAGTGCACTCACTCAGTTTTGCCCTTTTATAGAGGTTCCCCTACTTTACTCCATATTTTTCGCTTTTTATTTCTCTCCAGGATTGTTTCCTCATTCATCCCTGGCACTACTGCAGTCTTTCTCAGCAAACAGAAATACCAAGCGAAGCACAAACAAAAGCTGAAAAAACAGAGGCCCCAAATGGATAATCTCATAGATTATTCCATGATTAATTATCCCAGATTTATCAAAAGCCACATCCAAATAAGGTCAAACATGTAATTGTAATCTTCCTCAAGACACGCAACCACCCCTTTGCACAAGCCTTGGTTTGTATCACGGAAAGTTTAAACCAACTTCCATTAATAGTGATAGAGGGGAAAAGAAGTAATGTTGATATGTATTCAACATGTCAAGGAGATCATTAGTGACTGACACCGATGATGTGTCACAGACAACAAGATGTCTCTTTTGTGCCTGTCCTTTACTGACATTCCTGTCGCATCGCATTCACCGACCTCACGCAGTGATCTTCTTGCACTTTGGATCAAAAAATTTCCATGTTATTGTTAGTGGTTTATGCATATTGCAATTTTTTCTATTTTTCACATAGTCTTGCTTGCACTTTAATCACTTGAATGAAAAAAGTTATTCATAGGAGAAATCAACGTCGAGACATATATATATATATACCTGTACATGGGTTTTTTACATCTTTTTAATGGATTATAAGCCCCAAATCCCAGAGACAGACTCACAAATTCACTTAATTTTCCTAATTTCACATTTAAGTCTCCACATCAGCTATAAACATGTAAACCCACATGGAGGGAGTTCCTATTTACGACATAGCTGAGGAGGCACACAGCTCTTTTTTTCTTTCACCATATGGCCAAAGTAGCTCGCACACAAGCAATTTGTTCTGATTCAGCTGTTTCAGCAGGAAGGATTTGCAGAAGCAGGATTGGGAAACACACAGGATTCTCTTTCACTTCCGTGACAGAAGTTATATTTTTAATTAGCCCCTGTTAGTCTTCTGAGGGCAGCTTGTAAAAGTTTAATTCTGTATCTCAAATTTGAGTCCCATTGGATAAGGCCATTTTTGAAGTGTTTTTAGGGACTAGTTCTGAAAGCATTTTCTGGTTTTTAGAAAAGCCAGTTCCTTGGCAGGTTCTGTTGAAGAAAAGTAAGAGTTTTGGAGGTTTTTTTCTTCCTGCAGACTTGACTTATATGAAGATTATTGAAGGTACAGGGAACAGGGGATGGTGGTCAATATGCTACTTGACTGAATTCTTAAGAGAACCAGCTGTTGGGAAGATACAGTATGTGATCATTATTGTAAATACCTGCAGGCTCCAGGTTTGTACATTGGGAAGAAATAAAAAAATAGGTCAACTAATAATGGACAAGAAAAATCTGTAGAATAATGTATTCACTGTTCCTTGCCTACACAATAGCATCATTCAAATTAAAACAATCAGATTTACTTAAATCTGACAAGCAAAAAACAAAAAAACAAAAACAAACAAACAAAAACCACAAAAAACCCTGAAAAGATCCACTTGAAATAAATATTATTTGATTTAAAAAAATTAATTATATACAATGAATAAAATTTATAACCAAGATAAGAAACATAGAAAAAGTGAAGAACATAAAACAGTGTTATTAATTTGCAGTGATGCTCTAAGATTTTAAAATAACATCATTTGAATGGGCATACTGTTGCACATGTTTAGGAAGGGGGTATACAACATCAAAAAGACTTGTGAAACAGTTTGAGTTTGTAATTTACCATCATATGTGGGATATATTTGACCATGCCTTAAAAATTCAGCTCTAACACAACATCCTATCAGAAGTGCCTGTGAGAGAGCAACCCTTAAATGTAACTGGCCCTTCAGATTTCTGTTTAATATTTAAGCTGTTTCTAATTGTGTTCAGTGAAAACTTGGCATCCAGTTTATGGGCTTGGATGCAATTTTCATTTCAGTAAGAAAGAAAGAGGGGAGAAAAGAGACAAAATTTAAATCTGTTCTGTTCCCAGAATTCTTAAGTGGTAAACAAGGTAAAAGTTTCAGTCTCTTTTCCCAAATTTGTCCAAGCATGATTTCTTACCCTAAACATAATTTAGTATAATTCAGTGTAACACACTATACATTCATAGATACAAAGCCAATTACTAAACAAAACACTCAACTTTGAACCTTCTGCAACAGTCTTCAAGAAAACCAAATTAGGAACTTGTTCATGAGGGCAATGTGTGTGTTAATGTCTAGAAAAGGAGCTCTGCACACATCGCAGGAAATTGCATTAGCCTTCATCAACACCAGAAAACTAAAGTGAAAAGCCAATCTCGAAACAAACCCTGATGTGGGCTTTAAGACAGCTCCTGAACTGTTCTCAGTGGATATGAACCTTCCTGCATTTCACACATCATTGACCCCCCCAGGCAATTCTGGCTTCCCTCACCCTTTCCTTAGCAAAGGTTGCAAGACACAGGATTTTTGGGAAATAAAATGCCTCTGCCTATCCCCAATGTGACAATAGGATTACAGGGAAAAAAACGTGGCAGAAACTTTGGATTTGTGATTGTTACAGCTGTAGCAGGCCCCACAGAGCTGATGACTAGGGAAGGGAAGTTCTCCTTCCTGCCCTCTACTCTCCCACAGCTATAATGGTCAGCAGAAATGCGTCTTCTACCATCTACAGACCATCTTTTGCTGAGGAAGAACTGTAGCTTGAAAGACCCCAGTTAGAGGAACAGCCATCCATCTTTTCTTGAAGCCAGAAAGTGAGGCCATGGAGAGGAGCCCAGCAGAAAAGGAGCCTTCATAAGCATAGTCAAGGCAACACTAATCATTCAGCAAATCCTTCAAGGCAGGAAAACCGGCATCCTTGGCTTCCAGAAGTTTGCCTAGACTTCATGCTTCTTCCCTAGGCTTCTATCAGAGATCCCAGAATAGCAAGTAAAAAGATAGTCTTTAATATCGAGCGTATGAGGCTGTGGAGGCACAGGCTGTAATCAAGGAATGTGGCTGGTTAGTTGTAACGTGGTGGAGGAGGAGAGTGCAGGCATTTCCCCGCTAGACGTCTGTGCTGATTTTGCTGATTGCAGGAATAGTGGCCTTCAAGGCATTTAATAAAAAATGATTAAGGAAGAGACAGGACTGTAGCTGTATTACTCATCCATTAACCGTCTGCACATGAGATCAGACATCCCTCCCCCTGAAGCAATACGGCAAAGGACTACAGTCTTTGCATGGGTGCTCTGCTCTTTTGGGTTGTCCAACAGAATTGCACCTTAAAGATACAGCACAGCTTTTACTATTTTTATGGCTTTATTACAGTTTGTTTGGGCTTTGGTGCAAACTGCTGTTTTATGACAGAATTCTGTATTATGTCCACTTTAATGCTTATGCATGAGTATAAATATCACGGGAAATACTAGCTTGGTGGATACTGCTTGCTCCTTACTTGACTTGTTAAACTTTGGGCTAAGACTTTCTGAGTACTTTACAGCGAACTTATAAAGTGTATTACTGAGATGCACAGTCTACAGTAGTAGCTGTGAGAGCCAATTTAGTTCTGGCCCAAGCACATGATGAGTGGAAGCTGATCTGTCCTAGGCCAAGCATAATGCAGCATAAATTCTTTCACTAAGTGACTGGCAAGTTGATTTATGGCAATTTCTGACAAACCTGCCCAACTTTTAGGTATAATTTAAGTAGGCAGACACATGCAGAAGTTTTTCAAGAGTGTACCTGATGTTCTCCATGGAACTTACAAAGTCCAAGATGGTGGTAGAGCACTTGACTCCTGTTGACTGTATAAATTCCCATATTTGCCAGCTGTAACTTTAAATTCTCCCCTCCGATTTCCCAGAGAATAAACAATAAACTGTTCCCAGTGAATTTAGTTGGGAGCTAGAGAGAAACATGAAAATTAGTCTAGGTAGTTGCATGCCTCAATGACAACTCAGAAATATGCTCTTGCCAAATAGGATTTTCCTTTCAGGGGTGTTAACATGATAACTTTCTTTCCCCTAGAGCATGTCCATAGTCACAGGGAGAGGGAAGTTAATAAAAATCCACCTGGTTTTCCTGTGGAAATGTGACTTAAAAGCAATATTTTTAAAATAGTTGACCTAAGCAATACTATTAATGGTAACTATTGTCATCAGCTGTACATGACCATATTGACTATTTCGTGATAGAAGAAAAAAATGTTCAAGAGATGACAAGTTCTGTTTTGCAAAGGAGGGAAGAAGGAAGGGAAAAGAGACCCTTAAATGCCGGCACGCTCCCGATGATAATGCTATACATCACCACAAAATCATTTGCAGGTGTACACAAGTCTCGCCATTCCTCCTAGCCCAGTTTTTGTATGCAAGGTCATCCTCCTGGTGCTACCTTAGAAACTGGCCTTATTCTATAGAGGACATTGAATGATAACACTGTGAGTCAGCTGACTGCTGTGTCACAGAGCTGCTGCTTTCTACATTATCGCAACTGCCAGAGCTCTTACTGCTGCAGTTTTCTAGTCGCAGTGCGGCAAAGCAGACGCATAGAACCAGGCACAAAGCAACATAGATTTTTTTTTTTTTTTTATTCTTGTCTTTTTCATATGAGGGGAATATTCCTGGTACTAGCGTAGGAACAGACACAGCCTGGATGTGTTGGCTTCAGCCTGGCAGCATTTTCAGCTGAGCAGGGACTGCTCGGAGCTCTGTACCTAAATTGCCTCTGAGGAAGAACGCCTGGTTTTTCCCACTTTGCGTACCTAAAAGAGGGGGTTTTTTATGCTACGGTAATGTACCTGCAGCAATAGGACAAAGGAGATGGTACTTGTCTCGACTGGTACTTGTCAGTCTGTCCGACTGGGGCCTTTTGTGGGCACTCCACGGCCGAAGCTGTGCCAGCGTCCCAGGCTCATATAGGTGGGCAATACAGATTGCCGCAATTTCTTACATCAGTTAGAGCAAAGCTCAAACAAGAATCCAGACTCTCTGACCTAAATCAGTCCCAGTCCTTCTGGATACAGGGCAGCAGTCGACTAGCAATGACACAACCAGCCATCAAGTGGAGAGTCTCTGGGATTGCAATCTGTATCAGTTGGAGTCTGAGAGAATGAAACCCTTTCGGGTATCCACTCGCTGTCTGAGAGAACGAAACCCTTTCGGGTATCCAGTCTCTTCTCCTTCTAATACTACAATTGCTACAACTACAGCTACTACTACTACTACTTCTGGTTTTCTTGCCTGTAAGAAGCTATTAATTACGGTTGGTCTCTGACTGTACATTTGCGTGGATTAGTCTGTCTGTAACGCAGTCCTTATCTGCTTCTGCTGGAAATCGGGGCATGAAGTCAGCCTGCTTTAACAGTTGTTTCTTTCTGCGTGATGCTATGCAACTAGAATGGGTTACACTGACAACAAAGGAACAAGCACAAAGCACCACTTTCTTTGCTGGACTGTTACAGGAACATAACTCTTCTTCGATATGACACCCTGGTCTCTTCTCTTTGCTGGCTTTTTTGTCTTTTTTTAATTTAATTCATCTAATCGAAGAGCCTAGCAGACACCATCGTGAATGTGGCTTTTAATGATTTGGAAAAGACAGCCTGTGGAGACTGCGATTCGAGACAGCAACACATTTAGGTTATTGCCAATTTTAAATACTTGGTTTGTGAAGCACAGCCCTAAGGGACGAGCTCAGTAACTGAGAAAGAGATTGTAGATAAAGAAATAAAAATGACAAGCGTAATGGAGGCTCTGCAAAAGAGACTGTCAGAGAATCAGTTCATGGATGGCAATTTCACCAGTCTGAATCTGAATAATTCATAGATTGAAATTACCCTGCTTTCACCTTTCCATTTAAACCGGCATGATCTGAATCTCTAATAAATTTTCAAGATAAAGTAAAATGCCAATTTGAATCTGAAGAGCTTTTAAAACCAGATGCTACACCCTGAATCTTTCGATACCTTTCACAATTATCCTGTGAGAACCGCACTTCATCACGAAGCACCATTACCAGTGAAAATTACTGTGATTACAATAGCAACAATAGAATACCATCAAATGATCTCTAATCTACCTAATTTAGCAAGGCTGACTGTGTGCCCATTGTGTTTCACTACGTCTGGCATTGGATCAATATCGCAGAGGAACAAAAATGCCTTAGTGCGTGGTTCCTTTTGGTACCTTTACCTTTGACAGCACAGGAGAAAATCTGCCTACTGTTAAATGTTTTTACAGCCTATCTACATGCCTGCTGTAGGACCTGATTGATTCTCCATGATTTTCTTTAGTTCTTGGATATCGGATGTCATTGTGTTACTAATTTGTTTATAATGTATACTCATGCACAAAGACTGCAGCAAGCGAGTGCCAGCAGAGAGACCCTGCACTGCTGCTGCAGTCTCACCGCTCTCACAGGGGAAGCCAAAATGATTTCGGTGCCTTATGTGAATAATTACTCCTGTCTGAGTTAGAAATGCTTTGCAGCATCACCGCTCTTGGTTGTACTATGTGAAAAATGTACGCGAAAGCCGTGGTCAAGAAAAGCAATTGTGTGTAATACTAACAAGATTTGTTTTTCCCCCTATTCAGCAATTAACATGTGGTTGTGAGAGACAGGCTGCGACTACTTCTGTAGATATGTGTGTGTGTGTGTGTATGTAGGTACACATGCACATACATAAATGTAAAGTTCTGTGAATATGTGCTGATCATTGAAAGTAACAACTTTTTCTGACAAGCCAGGCGCAGTGTTTTGCCACAATCTGCTCAGTTGTAACAAATCCCTGTTTTGAAGGTGTAAATTTCCTATAGGATGATGCGTGACTTCTGGAACAGTAAGTACCATTTATGCAGTATGTTGGTGCCTATAGCTATGCTGCAGAATAGTATTTTAAGCATAGTTTGAGTGCTTGTAGCGTAACTAGAATGTGGAGAAGTGAGAAACATGTACAGAAGGCTAGAAACAGGCATTCTTCATGGAGGCGACTGTATCTGCTGTTTGTATGTGTGTGAGTTGCACACTTCAGGCTTGTTTTTCATTTTATAATCAGATTTGCTCTGCCTTGAGGGAATATTTTCTAAGGGAGGAAGGTAAGCAATATTTCTTCTTACGTATATGACTGCTCTGTTGAGAGAAATGTATGTTTATAGCACATAGTTATACAGTACAGCATGATCTCGTGACATCTAAGTGTTTCAGTATTTGTTCACATTAAAACAGGGCAAGAAAGCATATTTGAAATAAAGCTTTTTATTGAATATACAGTTGCAGAAATGCTACACAAAAAAGAGAATTTACAGATTGTGTTTTCTTTCAGATTTGACTCTTTACTGTTATTAGCTAAGAGCCTACTCTACCTAAATAACAGTGGTCTTGAAACCTTTCAATTTTTGATATTTTGTCTTCTCAAAGCACAATATACTGTACTTCTAAATTTCCTGTATATTAGTGAAGACTGTTCTCTAGAGGTAGAAGAGGCAGGTTTTACTGCTTGAGCTGTGATAACAAAGGAATTTGAAAGGGCACAGTATATGATTGTACAAAAAACTCAAATTCTAAATAATTCGGTAATGTGATTTAGCAAACTGCTCTTCTTAGACAACACACTCTCAAGTTACTACTACTATCTGGAAATAATTAGTCCATTCAGTGCTATATTTATATTCTTCATTTTCACATGGTATTCAAAATTTAACAAAGAAAATCCTTGGGCAGAGCAAAGACTGAAACTTTGTTAAAAGTGGAAAGCCTACATTATGTTACTGTGGTAATAAAATCAAGAGATTCAGACCGAACTTTGGTGAAGAGACCTAAGTGTTTTGGTTTCACTATTTTATGATGAGCTTTTTATGGGTTTTTGTACAGAAATATAACATACTGATATAACTACTATGCTGCAAGGATCATGCAAACAGCAATGTGAATTGCAAAATACCATACAAATACCTGGTAGCATTCATGTTGTTATTATTGTTACTGCCACAATCTTCCAGTATCTTATGCTGCTCTGAAATCACGGTCTGTTAACTAGTTTGACTCCATGGAGTCTTTACAATCCTAATTTTTTTATCAGTTTTATCTGCTGTGACAGTCTTTAGAGAGCAGCTGGCCATGGGGTGCAAGGTGTCCTCACTAACAACTGCAGAGCAGAGCCTAAAGAGAGTTTACACGCTGTTGGTGGCTTCATTTAAGAGCCTGATCCGAATTGTTCTGTGGATCCACACTGGAGCCTTCCAACTTTGTGGTCCTGTCACTGAACTTTTAACATGCCACACTAGCTTTCTCACACTCCTCCATGCTGGCCTCTCATTCCAAAATATGTAGTGCTTGTCAGGCCTAATGCTGTTTGTCAGTGCAAGCCCCTGCAGTAGTTGCCAGAATCTGTTAAAACAGTGTACTCAGGAGGTGGAGGTATCTGTGAGACTGTTAAAAAGTAGTCTGAAAAAGTTTGAGAACCTTGAGGACTGAACTCTGCCTTTTGGGCTGGTGTGTGTTTCAAAGGCAGCAGGATTGCAGTCTACCAGCAGGATACATTGCACATGCAAATGGGGAAAAAAAGCATCTAAACCTTTTCAGAAACAGGATCATGAAGTGAAAATTAGCAATATTGTCTCACAAAACATGTTAAAATACAGTCAACTGTATCATCCATGTATTTTTTATATGGTTATAGCCAATCAGGTAGCTACAGCTGAAGTGTTTAGGATGTACAATTGTATGTGCCAAAATAAATGGGAGACTGTGCAATATCAAACTTCTAATATAAAGCCACTAATTTCAGCAATAGTGATTCAACAGTTATTACACATCATATCAAAGATTTATTAGCCTGATTTTGTGCTTATGTTTTTCACTGTGTTACACTTACTTGTCTGAAAATGACTTTGCAATGGCAAAGTAAGGGCAAAGCCACTTCTTTACATGAGTTCCCAATTAAACACAGATATACACTTGAGTAAAATTCCCTCTATGCCTTTGGTGGACCCTCATCTGCAGCTAGGCAGTGACCATGATGAAGCCACACGTGAAAAACATACTGGAGCCCATTCTACCACCACTGAATTTAATAAGAAGTCTCCCTACGCCATCAACACAAAAGATAGATTAATTAATTTCCTTCCATTGCATCCTTCCTGTGAAAGTTGTTGCTGGTTTTTGTTGTTGTTTTTTTTTTTGCCTCTTGATTACAATGGTCATGTGAAGTTGACATAATGCTGAACAGAAGATCTTTTCTGTTCACTAGTACACACAACCTGAACTAAACATACACTGAAATCAACATCTCAGGGTAGGTTTATTTGACAATTGAAGGGACCTTCTTGCCTGTGGTTTTGTTGATAATATTTGTGCTCACTCACTTGTCAATTCTGCATTATCATCTGGTATAAAACACACAAGTTGTGATCTGTAATGGTTGTATCTATTTGGACAAGAGCCCTGAGGATAGGAGGGTCTGTTATGGGGTTTGTTGGGTTTTTTCCACTGTACAGTTGCTTTGAATTAATTGCAACTGCCTATGGAAATATGATCCCTTAAGAACATAGAGAAATGCATTATTGATGAGTATGTATAAGGATTGCTAGATTCCTTTGCATCTGGCTGCTATGAATTTCACAGCATTACTCACAAACAAAAACGTGAGGAGGAAAGTAAGACCAACATAAATTGAAAGGAAAAAAGCATTATTTCCTAACAACTGTTTTGATGCAGAAAATTCAGAGCTAAACAGAAGAAAATTCAAATGTGTTCATAGATGCTATTAAAATACCACAGCAGCTCACTCCCTTTTTGATGCCACGTGATAACCGCAGGATGTGATAGAGGTAAACAATTTTGCCATGTCAGTTTATATTACATAGATAGGATCAAAACCCACCCTTGGCTTTAAAAGTATTTGAATTGCATTTCACAGCATCAGATCAGTTTCTTGATGGACTATAAACGTACACCTGCTCTGTGCTTTTAGCTGTGTAACATAACCAGAAGTTCTGAAAATCAAATGATTCCTGACTGACTGAAAGGAGGAAATGAAATCCTAAATGGGGATTGCAGCAAAGGTAATGGGTTTTGCAAGTTTCATGCCAACAGAGATTCTTCCTGTAGGTTTCCCAGATCAGGTTAAACTCCTCATTGTGTTAGAATTTGTTCTAAAAAACACATAGTTTAAAATGAGCGGGAATTCAAAATATGACCAAATTTGTACCCAAAACTGTGTGCCTTTTTTTTTTTTTCTATCTACATTCAACATTATTTCTGCCACAGGTCTTGTCTCAAAGTTTACCAAGAAATTGTGTCCAAAAGAATATTTGCAATGTTATTCCTCATTCGTAGGTAGTAATGCATACTGAAGCACGTACAATGAGTTGGCACTTGTGGAAAATGCTAAACTGGGAAATGTTGTTGAAATGGAATAAAAATAAATTGATAGACTGTGGAATTTCCACTCTACTGTTCACTTATACTCAACATTCCACAAGGTTATGCAGAAGTGAATGTATGGTTAAATTGTATGCAGTTACACAGTGAAATGCTCAATAGAAAAGCCTTTTCTTGTACTCACACGTTTGTTTCTTTGCCTCCTATGTTCACTCAAAAAACATCTCCAGTGGGACAACAGTCACAGCAACTGGCCATTCCTCTGACCTGCATGTAATAAGTGATGGTAAGAAGTTTCACTGAGATAGCAAATGGATGAGATCCCACACAGTGTGCTCCTAAAGGCTGTGTCCTGGTTGATGGGGCTAGGGGAGAGACAGGTATGCAGAGGGGCTTTGAGAATGAGAAACTATCTGTATGCCATATACTTCTGACTCACATATTAAAAAAGGAGTGGGAAAATGCCATTATTAAGTAACTAAAGGGGAGTAGGAACATCTTTAATTTCTATGTTTTCACAGGCAGCTCTTCTGCAAACTTGTCATAATTATACTTAGCATGAGTATCATGTGGTGAAATTCCAAGTCACCCAGAAAAGTTAACCTGTTAATCAATACTGAGACTGTAGAGAAAGGGTCCATAACCCAACAGACTACACTAATGCTTACTCATATACATACACACAGTCCTAGCGTTAGTGTTCAGATACAGCTTTAAGTCATTTTAATTTGCATGTAAATGTAGCTTTCAGTGCTACTGCACCTGTAATGTCTGTAAGTTTACCATATATTTTACATCAGCTTAAGCAGCTACATCCCATTTAAATTGAACTTTTTGGTATTTTTGGCATTTCTTTGAGTGACCATGTGCCGTGCACAGAAGTAGTGTAAATTGTTAACACTTCTTTTCTAAAAAGGTACTATTTTCTTCAAAGCTTGTCTCTACCAAACCTATAACCTACCTTTTCATGAAGGGCAGTCTCTGGTGAGCTGATTCATAACCAGCTTGATCTGGTTATGAATTGCTGGCAGTTTCTCGTTTTTATATTCTGTGTTTGTTTTATTATATTTAGGAATTGGAATGCATCCTTTCCTCTGCCGCAGAACTTGATGCTGGGTAATTACTTAAGCACTTGAACTTCATCTTCTGAATGCCTGACAGTGTGTGTGACTTGCTGAGCTCTCGCAACATATCTGGAGTCCATGGGAGCATGTGCAGGGAAAAAAAACCCAAAACAAACCCAAAAACTTTCTTGCTTCTGATTGTTTGCCTCAATTTAGACAATACTTGTGACCTTAGCCTCTGGGTCCTTATTTTGTTTTTGTAAATAAGTATCTCCAAACACAATTCTCTCACCTTACAAGGCACTATGAAATTAATGTCATTAACAACTGTGAGTCAAATAATGAATAAGTAACTGTTAGAGGGAAATCTTGATGGAAAGTAGTGCTCCCATCATTAGTTCTGTGTGTGGTAAATTAGGAAGAGGTTTTTCAGGAAATGAGGACAAAAAGGCTGAATTGCTGCTCATTGATTTTTTTCCTGAAGGAAGAATGTCCACTCAATATTTGAGAAAACAATGTGCCATTTTGAGATATTCAGAGAAGATGATTTTCATAAAAAACAAAGCTATAAACTATAGCTGAAAGATTCACATCACAAGGGCAATCCAGTTTTTGAACAACCTTATTGTAAGTCTCTTACCTACTTTTATAAAAAATTCATTGATGATTGCATTTAAAATAAAGTGTGATTCCCACTCTCTCCAGAAAAACTAACTGTAATTTCAGGCCCTGATTAGGTGTTAGAAAAATTAAAGATTTTAGAGGTATTAGTAGTAGTAGTAACAATAATTATAAACAACAACCTAGACAATCATTCTTGCAGCATTCATAAATTTACCTGTAGCAGAAAGTAATCTCGTTCATGTGTAAATTCTGAACAGCTTTCCAGCTGCCAGCAGCAGTTTTTAAAACTTCTTGTGTCTTCTACAAGGATTTAAGAACTTATCAGGCCCAGGCTGGAATGACTTGTACAAATGAGGTAGCCATTATTCTGTATATTTATCTGTGGTCACTTAAATACAGTGCAAGCATCTTTCATGCTCATGTAAAAACCTACCACATAAACCAGGAAGTTTCTGGATTTTCATTTAAACAGCTCACAGTAAGTTGCTCATTTTCATTACCCACCAATGTAACACTGAATTTTAAGAGACAGATTTGAAATAAGAAAATCTAGAAAATAAATGTATCCTGGAATATCAGAAGTAGGGAAACTTGTCACTTTAGACAGACATACAATCTACATGTGGATATTCCTATTATGTGCATTTGTTTTTCTAATTACTGTAACCATAAAGGTTGGGCTGGTTTTTGTTTTGTTTTGTGTTTGTTTGTTTGTTTGTTTGTTTTTAAAATGATCATGAATTGCATCAGGGCTGTGAGCTTATTTAAATTCCTTCACAATCCAGGTTGAGTCAATATTGCTGTATCTGCATGAGAAAACTATTTAAATGAGTGACCTGAGGTAAGATCAAGGAACATGGTGGTTTTTGCTAATTAGGACTGCAATTGTCATTGTTGATGGATAAATACTTAGCTATTTTACAGGTGCCTGTCAGCAAGTTTCTTAATAGTATATTTACTGGTTTCCTCTGTCTTTAAAGATCTATTGTCATTTGCAAGTACTTTTATTTAATATTCTTCCTTATTCCCAAACAGGTTTATTCAGTTTTCTGATAATTAACCTATATAAACACCAGAGAGAGTATTGAAACTGTACTTAATAGCTTCCCAAATATTACATTTTCCTGCTGGATTAAATTGTAGTCCACTGGGAAAACTTAATTCAAAAATCAGCACATCCAAATGGCAGAGACAGAAATTCAAATTAGCCTGACACAAAGATAAATCAGAAATCACAGGTTACTTCCTCTTTTTCATGATATTTCCAGTTTTGATGACCACAAGAGCCTTTGTTTTCAACTACCTGACCTCTACTGAGCACTGATCACACCCAACACACTAAAATTTCTTCCCATGTCGTAGATGCATTTCCACTGTGCACAGACTTTTGAAACACACAATAACCTGGCACTTATAGTTGCTTTTCTTTGTTTCTCCTCCTTGGATATTGTAGATTCACTTTCACCAGCTAAATCAGCGGCTAGTCATTTACAATTGATAGTACAACTTTACCAAGTCCCACCTGCTATTTGGGTACTATTGGGATGGGCAGACCAGACTTCAAACACATTCGTCTGTTCAACAGACAAGGCACAATGTCCTCCCAAGAGTAATGTACAAGGAGAAATAACAATTCCTCATCACAAACCTGCCCTTCTAAACCAGTCCATAACACTATTCAAAGACTCGTTTATACTCTGCAAGCAGAAGTGACAAAGTAAAGTCTAAAAAAAAGTGACAATTGGCAGCCGTCTCATAGCATCATGGCTAGTATCGGAGTGTCAACTTCAGGCATAAAGAAACTGAAATTGCTCTCTTAATGATGTGAGCTCCTTTTGCTCTTAAAAGCTTACTGAGGCCTTCAGGCTTATAGCTTCAGTTAGCTGTTGGTGGCAAAAGCTACTGAATACAGTAGCTACTAGCTGCAACCAAGAAGAGAAGAACCATTTTCATACAGAGGTGAATTAAAGTGAAACGAAAACTGTTGTGTTTTGACTTATTTTCATAACATTTGATGTGTCATTACTAACTGTAAGCTAACAGCTACGCATACTTCATTTGATAATCCAGTTTCTTCCATAGTAAATCTTTTGCAAGCGGACTTACAGAGAACACAGATCATAAACAGCTCATGATAAAAATACATTTCTAATTATATACATATGTGCACACATACACTTGAAAATTAGAATATTTAACATGACTTTATACCTATGCAATCATTTAATTTTATTTTCAATGGTATTCTATCACTTATTTATATTTTTACACTGATAGGGAAATACCACTGTTTTGCCTTTGCAACATTTTGTTTTTCTTTCTGCTGCTTGGCTTTACGGATGAGAGAATATAGATTAGTTTTTAAACAACTGTAATTTTTCAGATGGCATAGTGGCATACCACAGATCTGAATTTCAAGAGCCAACATAGTGTTGAGTGAACCATATTTGTTAGCTATTAATAGTGGGGCTATTACAGGCATCAGAAGCTGCACAAGAAAACCTTAAGAAGTGCTTTCATCTTGCGTCTCTAGACTAAAACCCTGACTGCAATATCAGCAAATTCTTTCTGTGTTAGTGGAAATTAGCTTCATAACATTTTCCCTGTTTCCTTTGGACACTCTTCCTGAATTTGAAGTTGCTCTTCTAACTCACACTTCTATCTATGTTTGGTTTATGTTTGCTTCTTTCTTTCTGATACTGAGATTCCATCTTTCCCTGGTGGTCATCAGGGTTTTTTTCTTTTCCCTGGTACTGATTCAGACTAACAGAAAATGCTCATCCAAGATGGCCAAACGTAGCTAGACTGGTATAAATAAATAGGTGGACTTTATTTTCCAGCTGTCTCATTGTTGTCCACACAGTGATAATACTGTTCTCTACAACTTTAAAGAAAATGAGGCAAAATAAAAATAGAAGAAAGATACACTAGAAACTCCAAGAAAATTAGAATGTGACAAATTGCATCTTTACATTAAAAAGAATTAACTTCCAACCACTGAAGTACAATGTGATACCTATTTATCAAGTTAAATTGTTTTCATATTGCAAAACACAGTTAATTACAGAGGCCATTTACAGATGGATGGTACTTATTTTTAACACTGCATGCATAAGTAAGATATAATTTCAATTTTGGTGGTTTTTTTTATTATTTTTGGTTTGGTTTTTTTTTTACCCCATGCTTTCAGAAACTAGGTAAATGTAATGATGAAAACAAACTTCTGGATGATCCAAATGCAGTCCTTTACCTACTCAGGGAACTATGCTTATGACTTTTTCCATGAACTTAACAATTCTTATCATTAAATAGCTTGAGCTGTTATTTATTTGGTCCCTACCACTTGTATTAAAAAACAACTCTAGAACCTTACTACTTTTATGGTCAGAAATCTTCTAGATTCCAGACTAAATTTATTCATGGCCAAATTACATCCATTTGTTCTTGTGCCAACATTGTCTGCTAGAATAAATAGTTCTTTTTCCTTGCCTACTGTTTACCATTCTATTGTGTTTTTAGAGAATAATTATTTCCTGTATCAGCTTTTGTTTCTACTAGACTAAACAAGGAAAAACTTTTCAGCCTGGATCTTAAAATGACTCCCCTTTGGTAATTTCTATAACTCTTCAACTATTTCACCTTTCACAAATGTGATGAAAAAAATCTGTGTGAGATCCCTCAGGTGCTTTAAGTAGTGGCAGAGATTTTTCTTTCCTCTGCTAAGAAATTGTTTAATTGGTTCGTACTTGGATGTCATTTGCTTTTTCATGGTTCTATCCCACTAGTAACTAATAACCCTGCAGACTGTTAATATGCATACCTAGATCTATCTCCTGTGTTATTTACAACTGATATTCTCCTTTACAGCAGATTTTTTAATTAATCCTTGACTGCATGCCTCCACTGCCAACACTATGCGCTTAAAAGTGGTGAGTATTTTTAATGTGCCTTTTCCAAGGCTGACACATGTTTTGGATAAACTGATGCCAAAGATAATAGAAAAATAAAAAGAAATAATGTAGGAAGACCAAAGGGAGGTACTCAGCACACTGACAGCACCAGGTATGATGTACTAAGGAGAAGTTTTCACAAGTGCTTCAGTGTATTATGATAGAACATAAAGTGTGGTACATTGCACACAATACTTCAGGAATTCTTTTTTGGCCCTGTATACTTACAGCTGCTTAAATATTCCATTTCAAAACAATTACAATTATTACATCAATGCTTTTAGAGTAGTTCACAGTAAAAAAGCTTTGCTACTTCTTGGTTGTAAAGGTTCCATTTAAGGACCATACATTTTGGAATGAAGACTGTATAACTCTTACATTTTAAAAGACATGGACATTTTCATAAGCATGCTGAGGATTTTGGGCTGCAAGGTCAAATAGCTAGGAATTTGGAAACTTTGAGTCCTTGGGAAAACAATTGAAATTTCATCATTTTGATGTAGAAGCCAGCAATTTATAAAATACCCTCAGCTGTACAAGTATAGATAGCAGAAGACTAGTGAATTTCCAGACTGGGTATCTTTGCTCTTTAGTAGAAAGATGAACTAGATTTTTGAAGGATTTTTTTAGAGGGAGAAAGATTATTTAAAAATCATGTGACAGTTTTTTGGTTTTGGTTTTGTTTTTTTTTTTTTTTTTTTTAATTTTGCATAGGAGTGCTGGACTGAGAAAATTTATTCATAAGAGTTATCTGCAAGGGCATGGAGCTTTAGAGAACTCTTGAAAAATCTTTTTTTGTCAGCTTTAAATTTGATGGGAATCTGCTTATTGGGAAGGGAATCTGTATCTGCTCAGGATTATTTTATTAAGTTATTAAAAGGTAGTTTTACTTAATGTGCCCTCCTTGACTATTGCTATATAATACCTTCTTTGATGTTGAAATGGTAAAGTGAACATATTAGCTTTTTGGTGAAGTAATGCTTAATATGTTGTATGTTGTTTAGGGCATCCCTGTGGTGCTGATAGCTGTGTATGAATGACTCGTATACTAAGCTGGGGAGCTTTGAACGCCTTTCAGTGGTCACATAATGACTTTCACCAAAGGAGGAAGAAGTCTTGATATATTTTTGTTTTGTTAACCCGAGTTTGGAAGGTGTTGATTTCATAAATCACAAGGTTTGTCAGTAATTTTGTTGATGACATCAAGCTGTGTGGTGCAGTCAACATGCTGGAGGAAAGGGATGCCATGCAGAGGGACCTTGACAGGCCTGAGAGGTGGGCCCATGAGAACCTCAAGAAGTTGAACAAGGCCAAGTGCAGGGTTTTGTAGTCCTGCACCTGGACTGGGGCAATCCCAAGCCTAAATACAGGCTGGAAAGAGAATGGATTGAGAGCAGCTCTGACAAGAAGGACTTGTGGATTGTGGTGGATGAGAGGCTAAACATGAGCCAGCAGTGTGTGCTTGCAGCACAGAGAACCAAGTGTACCCTGGGCCACATCTAAAGTAGCATGGACAGCAGGTTGAGGAAGGTCATTCTGCCCCTCTACTCTGCTGTGGTGGGACCCCACCTGGAGTACTGCACCCAGCTCTGGGGTCCTTGGCACAGGAAAGACCTGTTGGAGTGAGTTCAGATGAGGGCCACCAAGATGATTAGAAGGATGGATCACGTTTCCTATGAGGAAAAGCAGAGGGAGTTGGGATTGTACAGCCTGGAAAACAGAAGGCTTTGGGATGAGCTAACTACAGCCTTCCAGTACCTGAAGGGAACCTATAAGAAAGAGGGGAGAGAGACTATTTATAAGAGCAGGTAGTGACAGGACAAGGGGGAATTACTTCAAACTGAAAGAAAGTAGGCTTAGATTAGGTATTAGGAAGAAATTCTTTCCTGTGAGGGTAACGAGGCATTGGAACAGGTTGCCCAGAGAAGCTGTGGATGCCCCATCCCTGTAAGCGTTCAAGGCGAGGTTGAATGAGTCTTTGAGCAATTCGGTCTAGTGAAAGGTGTCTCTGCCCATGGCAGGAGGGTTGAACTAGACGATCTTCAAGGTTCCTTCCAAAACAAACCATTGTATGATTCTGTGATGTGATTAAGTAAATCTATCATAGGTAAATAGTGGCTTCAAAAAGTAAATTAACTGATATGTCTGTCAGAAGAGTTTATTTTTCTTTACTCATAACTCACTATGTTTTCAGAAATATTTGAGACGTGTCCAGACATCAGAAACTTTCAGGCATTAGCTGCAGCAGGCTGCAACCAGATGATCATTCTGACTTGACAAAATAAGTTTTAAAGCAGTTCTTTTCCTTAATGTGCCTCTTTCTTTTTTACTAGTTGTAGTTAGTATTTGTCAAACTAGGACAAAGGTTTGTCATTAGTCTTTTTTCTTTAGACAATGATACACTTACTGTGTTGATAAGGGAAAGGGATTTGAAAAGTGCTTGACAAAGAGAAACGTCACAGCAAGTAAAACATGTAATATATGGTAATATTATCCTACCGATTTTAATCTGATAGAGGTGTTAGGCTAATTAAGAAAGAATTAAACTACACATGACAGATACCGGTCACGTTGCTTAATATACTGCTGGAGGATACACAGAACCATAGAGGTGATGAAAGCATTGCAAGAACATACACAGAAGGGAAATAAAACACAATTGCTGCATGCAAGTATAGTGGGTTTTGCAAGTAAACATGGTATACTTTTTTGACAGTATGTTTTTTGCTAAGTATAATTTTCTCATTAATACAGATTCTATATAGAAAAATATTTGTTAAGTGACTCAAAATAGCTTGGGGTTTGGAGGGACAGTGAAAAGCAGAGAATAACCCCTCAGAGGTTATTTACTGGGAAACGTTTGTATTATTCTCTTAATATTAAATAATAGTTTTTCCTCTTCTGCAGTACCTTCAGGTGCCATTTAAAATGAAAATCAATTATATTTCTCCAAGCTCAGAAAATTTATGTTTCTCTGAGAAGTTGACCTCATCAACAAGTTCATACAAAGCACTGTTTGGCACATATATGGAGAAGCACCCAGAAAATGTTATTTATGTAAAGTGGAGGGGGTTTTCCTCATTTATTTTCTCTCTTTTTCCTGTATTGGCTTTGTTTCTATTAGATTTCTTGGACCTCTGATTCAGAGCAAAATAGATCTGCTGTTTCCAGAAAGAAGATTTATTAGTGTGGAGACGGTACAGTAAGATCAGTGAGTTAATCTGTTTTAAGAGAAGAGGGTTAAGGTGGATATACAGCGGAAGGATATGATAATTTTCAACTTCACATTCTAAGGAGCACCACATTGATTCCAGACCAAAAGTGGAAAAACATCCACTCTGGGAATTAGGGGCTGTGCATCAGCATGGATGCTGGCGTGCCATACTGGCTAATGCAGGCACATGGAGGCTGTTGGGACAGACAGACCCTTGTGCTTTGCTCCTGCACTGACTTCTGCTTCCCCTTCAGTCTGCAATGGGAGTGGTTTAAAATAATACAGTCTACAATATAAGACTTTTGGCAACTTGTTCCTTCTTCAAACTAGTTTAATACTAGAGCAATTAATATAGAGCAACGAATATAGAGCAACTCTATAGCTTGGGAGGATTTTTCTGTCTTTCATGTAACTCCTTAAAATCAGGTGTTTCAGGGCATGTCTTATGTAGATTACTAGAGTGTTGTATGCAATTCGGTAAGTGACTATTGAAGTGATACTGCAAGTCACAAATATGCTCCCAATTTCATTACCCGCACATTTCCCACTCCTTCACACACAGAACTATAACAAGCAGGGCTGGTATAGGAGGCTCTCTGGGATGGTATAGGAGGCTCTCTGGGGTTTTAGCAGAGCAAGTAGTCCCCAGTGGAGCTAGGAAGTGAAGGAAACTGTACCAGCTGGGAGCCAAATAGCAGTAACGCAGGACCTATGGGGAAATGCTGCGGCTCGTGAAGGTTTATAATACCATAGGTTACTGTAATTATTAAGGAAACAGGAAACAAATAATAAATTCCCCCCTTATAAGCACTTTGTATATAAGACGTGCAAAATGGTGGAGTTGAAAGGGAGATAAGGCTGTTCACAATCTGCACTCAAGCTGGATGTGGGTTACTTTCTTTCAGGTGTGTGGTCTAAGCTTCAGGTGATGGGAGTGGTTCCATGTTTTTTTAAGTTTTATTTTTTCTTCTTTTTTTCATCTTCCTCCTGGCATATCTCTCTGCTTTCCCATGAGTGGTGTCACTAGCAAGAAAATAACCAGATGTCTCAGCAGGGCTGTTTCCATTTTGCTACCCCAGTATATACTTACCCTCGGTCACCATGCTTTCTTTCTGTGTGTTTTCGTCTCTGTCTGAGCCTCAGCTGAATAGTCTGTTCATTTTAAAAACACTATCAAAAACAAGAGAGAAGAAAAAACTTACCCTTACAAATCCTTTGCAAGTTCACCTCCAAATTTGAAGCTACTCTTTCTTTTTTCCAATTCTCTGACTTTATTTTATTATTTAAACTTTGTTGAGCCTTTGCAGGCTTTGTGTCACTTGCAGAGTCCTGGAATGTGGATACTATAAATTAAGAATAGACTCTTATAGGCTTTGAGAGCGACCATCCAGGTTGCAAAGTCCTTTTAACAAACTTATTTAGTTTAATGATAAAAAAACCCCAAACTTCTGCCTTTAATAGCAACACAAAAAATCCCCAGGTATCCTGACAAAATGAAAGTAGCAAATCCACTTAGTACTGAAAAGTATAAAATGTTTAACAGAAAGGGTATTTTTAAAGTAATATCTATGAGTGCTGTACACATGAATATTGAATATATATTCCCTTAAAATAATCTAGTAAGGGAATAAAATATCCATTTGCATTTTTCTTTTGCACATAGGTTTATTAAGATAATATATGCATATTTTTATGTGCTGAGCCATTGCTTTGTCTCTGTCTCAGCCTGTCCAAGGTGTATGAATATTGACTAATGTACAAGCCATGGTGTATTATTGCTTACTTGAAGCATGACCTTGTTTTTTCTCTTAATTATATTTTTCCTTTGTAGGAAAGCAAGTTTACTCATTCTGAATCGTGCCAAACCGCATAATTTGGAAAGGAATATTGTGGCTCTACTTGGAAAGTACTAATTGGGCTCCAGCCATCACTGGGAAAGCTGTATAGTCTTTTATTATTTTAACTGGCCAAATGCCCTTTGTTACCACATTAACAGTCTCCCTATGGTGCCTGTAACTTTGATATTATTTTCACTTTCATGCTAAATTTGACCAGATGAAAGACACAAACCCTCCAATTTTGAAATAAAAAAAATAGCATGTTTTGTTAATCCTGTATTTCAGAGGGAAAGTCTGTGAAAATGATAACCTTTGTCTGCTGGCCAAAGTTTTTGTTCAGTAAACCCATCCTGCCAGCTGTTCCCATTGGCAAGAGGAAAGATAATATTTTGGTATCTTTAATTTCTCCATTTTAGAGCACAAGTTTTGCTTGTGCCATTGTTTAAATCATGCATGTTAACATCGGTCTGGCAAACAAAAATGCACTTTATAAAAAGACCTCAGTTTGAATGGTATCACTGCAAGGTTGCAATAAAGCTGGTCTAGACTATTACGTACAGCTTAAGCCACTTACTGCCTGTGGGCCATTGCAGGTGCTCTGGACTGTGCTGCTGAAGAAGTGCTTTCAAAGTCCTAAGGAAGACACTGAAGCAGATATATAGGTGCATTTTAATGCGATGTCACCAGGAGCTAAAGGTGCATAATACCTAAAAAAACTGGGCTCTCACGCACGTGCCTTTGGTCCTCATCTCACAAGGCAGAATCGACAAGGATCAGCTTGGTAACTTAGGTCCAGTGCCTAGCAAATTAGGAGAGATGGCCAGACAGGAATACTGGCAGTTCTAAGAGACAAAAAGTGGTCACCTAAAGCTTTAGGCTTATACAGATACACTTCCTGCTCTGAGAATATCTGAATGAGCATATGCACAGGGAATGTTCTCTCTCCAGATCCATCTTTGATTGCAAGTCTTAATTTCTGCTGAAACATAAAGGGTGTTCTCATCATGTTTAAGAAGATCTGTCTTAGTTTACAGGTAACCTGAAGCCTGAGTGGTTACAGGCATATTGGATCTCACACCTTGGCAGAGGATTATTTCTGCTTATGTTCTGAGACAGCTCAGCACTAAAGATGTACAAGGGGGGGAAAAAGAATCCTGATCCTGCAACAATTCATTTGGATCCCTTGAATGTTTCAAGGATTTCTTAAAGTCCTCAGTGAGCATGACAAGCAAATTGACTGGGATAAAACTAGGTCTCAAGTCTTTGCCTGTCTAGACATAAAGCCTCTTTCACTGAAATGGAGCATGAGGGAAGACAAGAGTCTCTTAAAACAAGAATTTCATTCATTTGTGCATTACTGTAATTATACTACTGTCTTAAATGCTATGAGATTGATGGTGCTTGTGACCTTCCCAGAATGTTTCAAAAGGGGGACAGTACAACCTTGCACTGTCTGAAAAAAACTCAGGCCTCCCATCTATGAAAGCTGTCTCAGGCAATTCAGTGAACACTGTAATGGCTCCTTTATAGCCTCCTACTTGTATTTGAGAATGTAGGGCACATTCCAAGGAAAATAAGGATAGTTCCTGTGTCTTGTTTGCTTACTTATTGCTATTGTTGTAGCTTGATGTAAAAGCTGATAACAAAATAGATGGTGCATTTTATTAGCAAGGCCTAGCCCAACAACCACGCTAACGATAACGTAATTACACCAGCGATGCAAGTTTTCATGTAAATACATTTCCCCTGGTATCTGCAATATGTGAATTTAGAAAAAAAAAAGTACTTTTTCGAGTTTTAATTTCCTCCAGAAGCACATAATCATTCAGTGCCTTTTCCTCTCCTTCAGATTAGCTCTCATCACCACAGATACAGCTACAAGTACTTATCTGACCTTTTCTTGCCTGTTGAACTGCCAGAGCCTTTCAGGGTACATTTCAGGTAAGGTAAATCCATCAATCAAGTTCAAAAGCACTAGGGAAAAATGTTTTAAAATGGCAAATATACTTTGATACCACTCTCACACATTACTTCCCCAAATGTGGTTTTTTGCAGTTAGCATGCCTCATGCAACAGCCTGGCCGGTCCCCATATGCCTCTATGTTATTATGAATGTGTACTGCAGTTTCACAAAGGTGTTCTGGATGGAACTTGTTCCAGAGAGCTTGTTCAAAGGGAAACTGTAAACCCCAGCCTCTCTGGAAGACCAGAATTCCTATGCTCCTGTTCCAAAACACTGCGGTGGCTGGCCCAGCATGCCATGGAACATCATCCTGTGCAGCACCAACAGGGCAGCTACCGGGACATCACCAGGCACTGTGCCAGGCTCTGCCTTGCAGGTTAAGTTACTGACACTTGCCAGCTGCTCTTTGTGAGGGAGAACTTAAACACCTTCCTCTTACCTTAGAAATACAAATATTGTAAATCATGCGGTTATGCCAATAAATAAAGGTAGTGCATTGAGAGTAAAAGCAACATCTTCCATTTTTAAACTTTGTACAGAACAACTTCAAAAATGTATACTGTCACATCATCTCGAAAGGAAAAATAATTGGGGAAAAAAAAAATCCACAGCCATAGTGTTTGAAGTAGGCCATGAAAGCCATCTGACCTGTCATTTGAGTCCTTCAGTATCAAAGAGCTGCGTTAACAATAACTGTAATGAAATTAGACTTCTTATGCATGCATGAGCAATAAAAAAAAGTCCAAGAAATATACTATGGTAGTAATCAAGGTTAAGAAAAAGAAAGCCTTCCTTTCCTGCAGCCCTTTATTCAAAGAGGGTTTCCTAGGATCTACACAACACAGCAATGAAGTGAGGCCATGAAGCTATTGGACCTGCAGCTTTTGTTTTCATGGATAGTTTTCAGTACAAGAATCAGTCTCCTCTGTCTTGGGGCTGAAAAAACCCATAGCCTCTCAGAATCTGAGGTAGGAAAGGAGGAGTTTCTTCTGGTACCAGAACCTATGAATGAACATTGTAAAGCCTGGCTGTCAACCCCCTCTTTAGTGAAATGTTGGTAGATTTATTCACAGTTAAACCCGAATGTTTTTGAAAGTCTTCATAAAATTATCTCAGCCAACAGCAAAGACAGGATTGAGCTGCTGTCCAGTGAGTATCCATTTCACTTACCTGCAGAGGTTCCACCTGACAAACTTGCTCCAGAGACAGGATGCTCTCATGAGATTCAACATTTGCTTCAGTGTACCCAGACCTCAGGCCCATGGCAATTTTGCAGTCCTCCTAAGAAATTAATCTTTTAATTGTCATTCTCAGTTTATCCTAGAATTTGCAACTTCTGTATGAATTTCTTGGCCATATTCAGTAACCTTGTTAATCTCAACTCCTCTATTTCTGTCTCTTATAACTTCTGCTAGCAAAAATTCTCACAGTGCTCTTTTCCAACAAGGACAGAAGCCTTCTATTCCCTTTTTCCCATACACTGAATAAAATATCCCTGACTGTACATGCTTATTCTACATTTCTTCACAGTGAAATCCCTGAGACTTAAACAACTCACTTCCAGTTGTTCACCTAAGCTTTTCTTCACTTTAATTTCTAGGTAAAATAGTTGCATCAAAGAATTTAAACTTTGTAATTCATAAGAAATGCTTGGCTTTGAAATAAAATGCCTTTTTTTTTTTTTTTCATTTCCAATGACTGAAGCAGAATTGTATTCATTTAGCAGACATCATAACTTGAAGTTAACTGGTAATTTTTTTCAGGACATACATCCAGAGAGAATTTTCCTGTTGTAATACAATTCACTAATGAACCATAGTTAACATACTAGTTGCTTTCAGTGTAATCTTGAGAAAAATACAAAAGGTAATTCATGATTGTATGAAAGAGATACATAAACATGCAAACGTTTTCTGCTGTTATAGGTTCTAAGGAATTAGTTCTGTAAGCAGTTATCTATAGTACATCTAAATTAAACAGCCCTGTTAGAAGGAAAACATTTTGTATTCATTTAGTCATTAAACTAGAATCAAGAACAGTTGCTAAAATAATGGATCCCTATTATTCATTACTATTATGCTCAACTTTTAGGAATAGACACCTGATAAGAATTGTACCAGAACTTTAGCTGCTAATGAATAATTAATTACTAGGGAGCAGATGCAAAGGGCAAATAGAACAACAATACCTAATTTCTTTTTTTTTTTCTGGAGATACTTGTGTGGCTCTTCTTCCTTCTCTTCTACTGAGTTTTGTTTCAGATCTCCACAGTATAAGGGACTGAACTAGGATTGGATTTGAAATTTTTTCCATCTAATGGGAAGCTCTCTTTCTTAAACTGTGACAAAAAAATTCAGAAACTTGACAAATTTTATGAACTAAGAGTAATAATAATAATAATAATAATATAAAAATATCAATAGAAGTATTTTATCTAGGTGATTTTTAAAACATTTCAAGTGTAGGTGTATCTTATAACTAAAAGCCATTTTACAGAAAGCCAAAATCTTCAATTTGAAGTGTTAAAATCCTGTTTCATAAAGCCTAATTTTTCAGGGCCTTGAAATCTGATATGACCTATTTCTGACAAAGTTTTGGCTTAGACAAGTAGCAGCATTTTTGTATGAAACTCATTTTGTCAGAAAGCTCTGAGCTAACTTTGCTGTCCATGATAGTCTGTACAAATATCACAGGAAACTTCTGGTATACACAATGGCTTAATCAGCTGGAACTGGAATAACAGGCAGACACGTATCTAACTGATCCCCAGCTGACTAGGAAATCTGTGTCCCATATGTTGTTTAAAAAGGGAGGTCTTAAAATTTAATTAGACAGGAGAAAGAAACCAAGCTTGTTTGGTTTGGGTTCTTTTAAATCATCAGTCAACTTTTTTTCTTTCACTTTATACACCTATTTAAATCCCATATATTCACCTCATCCACAAATTGCTCCTGCTTACAAGGTTTATCATGAACTACTTCAATTCACTGACAATTTTGTTTTATTGGCAACCCAAGAATTCAGGTCCCAGAGAACTCTCAACTTGAGAACCCAGGAGATGAGTAAATTCATTATGGACACACATCCTCGCCTGCATGGGAAATTAGCATGCAGTCTTTTATACCATAAATGAATACTCCACCAGATCAGTGTTTTTCAGTCATATCTGTCTGCACAATGCTAGTTTGCTTTTTCTTCCCAGTGGTAGGGCACAGCTTTATGTAGCAAATTGAAGCTCCCTGGCTCTTCAGAGGTAAATTTCTGCAGACCCCTTACGAAAAGCTCACAGACCTCCAGGATCAATGGTGAAAGCAACACCAGGATGAGTGCTACAAACTTGTTCCCCCACAGAAATTCTTTACAGTGCACAGAGGCTGTGAAGTACCTTTACACTGCTTTCAAAAAAAAACCCCATCTGTTTCTAGTTCAGCTACTTTCTGATTACAAACACAGAGTTTTGTTTCTGAGTGAGTTGTGCAAGAGACAATGGGAAATTTATAGATTATTATTAGAAAGCCGATTGATTATCTGGTGCCATAGTCCTGTGTTTTCTGGGTCCAATTACAGGAATTTTTCCCAACCACTTCGAGAAAATTTTCCTCCTGCTCAGTTAAGAATTGTGCTGATAGTACAAAATGGAAATGTTGCTACATTTTTTGGGCATAATGAAGTGCTCATGGCACTAGCAGAGACTTTGACTTGGTACATAAGCCTTATTAAGACTTAGTTGCCTTTTAGGGTGGTAGGAAAGCAAGGATAGAGCCTGACGTCCTCTGCCAGAGCAGCTTTATCAAGCCTTACAGTGGCAGTTCAGGGGATTACCAACCAAAGCTGTCTGCCTTCAGCAGGGCGGGATGCCAGCCTCAGCTGCTCCCATTGCTCTCCTGACTGCAGAACGTGTACAGACACAGTTGGGTCTCCTTATGACATCTGCACATAAAAAGCAAGGGGAAAATTCAGTGCTTGGAAAAGACCCTCTCCCTGACTGTGGCACAGTTAGCTGTCCTCTAGGAAATCTAGCCCCAGTTATCCCTGCATTGAACTGGCTGTGAGAGTCAGTTCAGATTAAAAATAATCAGATCTTTTTTGGGGGTGTGGCAGGGCAGGGTTTGGATCCAGGTTGTTGCCAGGTCCCATAAACAATTTTACAAGAACAAATAAAGGAGGGTATAGGCTGAGAATGAGCAGCTGGGGGCTGTTAAGATATCATTGTCAGTGAATGGCACTGCTTTCCTGAATTTTCACTGTAACAGAGCTTGAGCATTCAGATGATTAGCCATGACATCTGAGATATGGGAACAGTACCAAGCAGATGGGACAATACCTGCTTAAAGTATTCTAGTTTGAGTCACTGAAAAGGACATCTGTCTCTGCTCTCAAGCCAGGTGCCTCAGTGACTCCACCACAGCTGGGCAGTGTCTTCTGTGTGTTTATGAACAAGTATTTCTCAGAAGCTTGTAGTCTGAGTGGTATTTTGAATGAATTCTCACAAGGCAGTCAAAAGCCTGTTAGGTGTACCAAACCCAGCAACTTTCTCCCCTAACCTTGTTCAACAAAATAATTGTATCTGATACTTTTCATTCTCTGGCACACAATAGTTTTTGAGAGCTCAGACTCCAGAATGAAAGTTTAGCACAGCAAGTGGCATCTGAAAGTTGAATTCCTGAAGGCAACTGCTGGACACCTGTGGCTACATTATCCTTAAATCTAAAAAGTTACCCTGACTCTTCCCTTGTATCAAACTCCAAACTGTCATATTTTTCTCAGTAACACTTGGACCAGCATACAACACTAAACATATAGAAAGCATATAGAAATTACTAATATGAAAGGGCTGAATAAAAGGCATTAAAAATAAAAGAGAAATAAATCATTGCTTGAGAATTAATTTTTTATTTGCTTGTCATTAGACATCTGTTCATAGGCACTGCAAATGTTCCACTTTGTGTCTGGGTTTAATAGTACCAGCTTTGCAGGGGTGCCTTCTTTTTCCTTATTGTTTTCACTTGGTTTCTAGGGCAAACAAAACAATTTTTTTGTAGCCCTTTAATAAATTAAAGCTGTTATAGAGTTAGAAGTAAATAACTGCACATTATGGAAATTTCTATCCAGCAAGCCTCAGAAAGTATCAAAGGTCACTGTATGCACAGTATCAAACTCCTGCTCCCTTCAGATCTCCACCCCCACACCCACTCCCCACCCCCACCCCTGGTAATCCCCTGTGGCGACTGAGTAGAATTCAGGGCAAAAGTTGACCTGAAAAAATGTGGCACTAGCCCTCCTCTTCCTCCCCTTTCCATGTCATCTGCTAACATTTCCACGTAACAAATAGTGTATTGGATCCGAACTGTTTCTTTTGCTGGGAATGCCATCTGTGTGGTGGCAGCTGGGGTGGGAAGGAAGGCCCATAGGTGAATGAATAGCAATAAATATAGACAGTAGACTAAATTAGGGGAAGTTCCACTGCTTTCCAGTGTTCTGCATCTTTTCATGCTTCCATTATGTGGATACAGCTTCTCTTAAAGTGGTGTTTGAATGTCTCGATTATTTAGCAAAGTAGCAAAGTCAACATTGTAACAGAGATCTCAAGCAAGCCAGTTTGGGCGAAACATTCAGACTGCTGAAAATGCAGTAAGTCATTTATGGTTACATTCCATTTCTATCATATTATAGTATCCTGGAACTAGCAAAGGGGGAGAAAAAGAAGATGACAGTATGTATTGTCAAAAGGAATAGGTTATAAATCATCCAAAATGAAAACCCAGTGAAGATTTGGAAGGAATGTTTCTTGTAGACTAGAGAGAAAATCAGTGTCCAGATCATTGACAACTGAAGCTGAATTCTACAAAGGAATTGCTGGCATAACATTTTAATTTCTCTTTGCTATTCAAAAGGACCACTTACTTACATTTGAATTATCTATTTTTGCTGTATTACAGAAAGGATCATTCATTAATTAAAACTCCATCTTAGTGTATTGAGTTCTGTAAATAATGTCATGTCAGAGGAAATTCTAGAGGCTGAAATTTTGCTCCTATCCCTTCACTAGAAGATTGCTAACAGCATCTTGCTAACAGCATCTTGTCTATACAGAAACACAGAAGGCTAAGATGGGAAGGGACTTCTGGAGATTGTCAGGTCCAATCCCCTGCTCAAAGAGTCCACAAGGTAGCAGGTTGCTCAGGGTCATATACAGTTGTGTTTTGAACTATCTCCAAAGACATAGACTCACCTCCTCTCTGGGCAACCTCATCCAGTGTTTGATTAACTCTATGGGACACAAGTTTCTTCTTCTGTTTACTGGCATTTCCTTTGTTTCAGTTTGTGCCCATTGCCTCATCCGTTCCCTGGATACCAGTGAGAGGAGACTAGTTCTATCTTCTTTGCTCCCTCCTATCGTGTGTTTGTACACAAGGATAAGATTCCCCCTAAGCTATCTCTTCTCGAGGATAACACTTTGATAAATATTAGCAAAACATTAATAAAATATGTAAATATATATGTTTACTTATTTTGGAAGCACTTCAGAAATATCTTTGCTGATTTATCCACAGCTTTCACACTGAATACAGCTCCCAAGATATCTTTTAGGCAAGTGCCATTGTTCTTAGAATTTTTTAGGAACTGCAGCAGGAGATTTTACTTCAGCAATGTTGTATTCTTTCAAACTATACCTAGGTAAGTAATTCGGTAAGATATACTTCTCTTCCCTTCAGTGTTCAATTAGAGTAGACACACATTTCAACCATTTTTATCTCACTCTTGGGGTTTTTCTATAGTTCATTAATTCTAAGAGCAAACAATAACAAGAAGTCAGCTCAGTCCTTGAGCAAGTCTACAGCTGCACTACACCTGAAGGAACAGAACCACATGGAAGCCTTTTAATACACTTTAATTTATAGAAGTTGGATTCACATCCCAAATTCACTTGATTTGCGTTCACTTTCTTGGCTGACTATTTAGCATTGCCTGGAAATAAAGCTTCCATGTTTGGTGCTTCAGTTCTCCATGCTCAAGACTTAAAGAGAAGGAAAGGACATGTCATACTGGCAAACCAAATTAGATATTGGTTCACTTGAAAAAAAATCTATGTAAACAAAAGTGTAAAAAGCTCGTCACTCTATCTCCTCTTCAGATTTCCTAAAATGTATTTTTCTGTTGCAGTAATATTTACCTGTAGTGCAAGATAAGCCTTTTTCTGTTATGAAAATGCACAGACATCTGATATTTTCATGTAA